AGTGGGAACGCGGCCCTGACGGCCCCATTCCCGGTGGGAACACCACCCTGACGGCCCCATTCCCGGTGGGAACACCACCCTGACGGCCCCATTCCCGGTGGGAACGCGGCCCTGACGCCCCGGGCTCCGCAGGGTGACGGCCATGTGGGAGGACAGCAGCGGGCAGATGTTCCACGCCCACTGGTTCTGCCCCGGCTCCGACACGGTCCTGGGGGCCACGTCGGACCCGCTGGAGCTGTTCCTGGTGGACGAGTGCGAGGACATGCAGCTCTCCTACATCCACGGCAAGGTCACCGTCGTCTACAAGGCGCCCTCGGAGAGCTGGTCCATGGAGGTGGGCGACGGTCCCGGGGGGGCCCATCCCGGTATCCCGGTCCGGCGGGAAGCGCGGCCGATCCCGGTGATCCCTCCCTGCCAGCAGGGCGGGCTGGACATGGAGATCAAGATGGTGGAGGACGACGGCAGGACCTACTTCTACCAGATGTGGTACGACCAGGAGTACGCCCGCTTCGAGACGCCGCCCACCACCCAGCCCAGCGAGGACAACAAGTACAAGTGAGGGAATTCCGGGCGCGGGGAATCCCGGGATCTCCCCTCCCGCCCCCCGGGACCTCCGGGACTCCCCTTTCCCACCCCTTTCCCACCCCTTCCCCGCAGGTTCTGCATGAGCTGCGCGCGCCTGGACGAGGTGAGGCACAAGGAGATCCCCAAGGTGGCCGAGCCCCTGGAGGAGGCGGACGGGAAGATGTTCTACGCCGTGGCCACCAAGAACGGCGTCCGGTACCGCGTCGGCGACGGCGTCTACCTCCTGCCCGACGCCTTCTCCTTCAGGTTGGTGCGGGGGCTCCTGTCCCGGGAGGGGGCTTTTTTTTTTTGGGGGGTGGGATTTTGGGAGCAGGGCGTGGGGTTTTTGGGCGGTGGCTCCGAGCTGCGGGCGGGGCGGCCGAGACCCGAAATTCCCGAAGTTTGGGTTGAAAGTTAAGGCGTTCCTGTAAAAATGGAGGTGTTCCTGCAAAGATGGAGGTGTTCCTATAAAAATGAGGGTGTTCCTGTAAAAATGGAGGTGTTCCTATAAAGGTAAAGGTGTTCCTGTAAAAATGAGGGTGTTCCTGTAAAAATGAGGGTGTTCCTATAAAAACAAAGGTGTTCCTATAAAAACGAGGGTGTTCCTATAAAACCGAGGGTGTTCCTGTAAACCCAAAGAGTGAAGGTTGGCAGAGCCCATCGAGTCCAACCCTCGGCCCGACGCCGTGTCCCCGAGGGGGTTTTTTGGCCACTTCCCTCCCCTTTGTCCCTGTTTCCCAGCGTGAAGCCGGCCAGCCCGGCCAAGAGGCCCAAGAAGGAGGCGGTGGACGAGGAGCTGCACCCCGAGCACTACCGGAAGTACTCGGAGTACATCAAGGGCAGCAACCTGGACGCGCCCGACCCGTACCGGGTGGGCAGGATCAAG